TGGTGGTGTGTGTGGTGGGGCGGGGGGGGGGCAAAGCCCGAGCTTTTGGTGCGCTCGTGATTGCGGTAGGCAGCGCACCTCTAGCATGCTTCGGCATTTGCCCGCTGCGAACGCTAGCCTGTGAGCTCCCCATTTTCATCTACTTCATAGAACAATCTTCACCAAAAATTATCAGCACCAGAATCATTGAACTAATGCATCTAAATTCTCATGCAAATGAGTGAAGCTACAATCATGTTCACATGAATCTGCTGTAGCAAGTGTTTCTCTGGGTGGACTTCAAGAGCAACAATCTTTCAAAGGAAAAGGAAGCCATACATTAAAGAAAGCAAAAAACTGAACTGCTAATATTAACATTTCAGTATGCTAATAAGTTCAAGATAAACACCATAAGTACACTAACAGATAAAGAGCGTACACTGTATCTAAAGATTAAATCAAGATTGTAAGGACTTCAGGCGACGAGTGGCAGACTCAATGCCATTGAGAGCTGATTTTCGCGCTGTTCAATTTCCCTAAGTACATCTTTAGCTGCCTCCACTTGAGTATGAAGGTTTTGCACCTTAAGGCTTGCAACCACATGATCTGCGACGCATTTTTGTTTCTTATGTTTCAGCGCCTCTTCATTCTGTTTAAGAACATCCACACATTGTTTCAACCTACCAATCAGTTCCATTGCCTCCACCATTTGCCTTTCAAAAGTTTCCTTCTTTTTCATAATCGCCACCATATCGTCTTGAATACGAAAGATCTCATCTTTATGTCCCTTTGCACAACTTATAGCATCTTCATATCTTGTCTTCGGCTCTGGAAAAGATTGCATCTCTCTCTGACTCTTTGTTGCGAGCAAATCAAAGTGATATGCAATGAAATTCTTGACGTCCTTGTAGAAAGACGTATAATCCGCGTCAAGAATATCCAAGCTGAAGAAGGCATTATTGGCGCACTTAACCATGTCTTCAACATTTTCTATGCTTCCGGAGGTGAGTTGGAACACCAAAACAGACTTAATATGAGAGATTATGGTCTTTGATTCTTCATGAATGTTGGAAGAACATTCACTCCAAAGACCCGGATTTGGGGGTGGATTTAGCATTGATAATGGATGCAGATTTATCTTTGTCTCTCTTTGTTCTTCATCTGTAATCAGTAGAGGCGCATCTTCGCTCGAGCCCAATGGTGGCACAGGAGGCAGTGAAACTGCTGGAGTTTCTTTCGTTGCCATCGATGGCGCTTCAACATCAACAACATCAACATGATTTAGTTTAAGAAAGCAGGAAAAGTAACGAAAAATATGTATGCTTAACAGTTACTAGAACTAATTTTTAAGCTTTATAGTTGAAACTTATTGAAAAATTACAGAATCTTTATAAGTTTAAAATGATTCATGCTTTAAAGTTAGAACTTATAAAAACTTACTAAATCTTTAGTGACAGATACATGTTTTAAACTTAAATCTAACTGAGAAGTTATTAAGGTTTTAGTTTACAATATGTATGTTTTACTTTAGAGCTTATAACATACTAAATCTTTGGTTTTAGAAGATATATACTTCAAAATTAGAACTTGTTATATGCTTTAAAGTTTAAACTGACAACTTGCTTTGAAAAAATAGAGCTAACAGTGGAACTTACTTCAAATATTTCATTCTCTCTTATTTCCCTTTGTTCCTTTTTATACGAAAGCTTTATAATTGCAAGCTAAAACAAGAATATATTGGACTTTTATTATTCAGATAACAACAACAACAACATATTCAGTGTAATCCCACATAGTGGGGTCTACGGTGGGTACTGTGTACACACAGACCTTACCCCTACCTTATAGAGATAGAGATGTGGTTTCCAATGGACCATCGACTCAAAAAAGGGTAAGAACAAAAGTAATGAAAAAAAAAACGGCAAGAAACAATAGTAAGAAGCCATGGAAGAAAAACATTAATAACAACGAGATAGTAAGATGACCGAAAACTTCTCATCAGATAGGAATTAAAAAAATTACTGTACTGTAATATTAACTCCCCCACCCCTACTCCCAACCAACAAGAAAAGAGTAGAGAAAACAAACTCTGAACCAAAACAGAATGTAAACTAAAAGAAGGCAGTGGGTGAAGAGGAAGCTCACCTTCTACTGAAACTGGTGTCTGTTTCCGAGGGCGACCAGGTCGCCCTCTGTTCACACAGAAAGTTAAAATTCAGAGAAGAGTTCGAACTTTTAAAAATTAAAATGCATAAAATCCACCCCATCGTATTACCCATTTACCAACTACATACCTTTTCTTTTCGGGGGTCCTAAACTTATTTTTATCATAATTAATTTAACATTATATGCTCAATTAAACCCGACACGTCGAATCAATTATGGTAAAAATAATGTTAAATCAATTATGTTATTAAATCAATTATGGTAAAAATAAGTTTAGGGGGATAATAGGACCCCCAAAAAGAAAAGATGTGTAGTTGGTAAATGGGTCATAGGATGGGGTGTATTTTATGCATTTTAATTTTTAAAAGTTCGAACTCTTCTCTGAATTTTAACTTTCTGTATGAGACCAAACAATTAGGTGATGAAGAGTTGACAGAGTAAATGGAAAAAAATGAAAAAGATACATAAAAACTTTATCTCAACCCCAGCAACTATATTGTAAATTCCTAGGGCCTAGAAATAGAGGCTACAACAGTTCTTTTTATATTTATTTTTTTTCGAAAGAAGTTTGCTTTGTATTTGCAGCATGAATAGTATTCACTAGAGATGGAAAAGAGATGCAAAATTAAATTTTAGGTTCAAGGTAATGGCTTTTCTTATAGTATGCCGTTTCACTTTTGGAAGATTATGTTAGAAATATTGGTGCATGATCTTGAACACTTTGTGGATCAATTGGATATAGATGTCATATGTCAATTATTTAAGAATAGAATAGCAGCATACATAATACTATTTATGTGATGTATTTTTCTTTTAACTTGAAATAATCACAAGAATTTAAAAATCTTACTCATATCATGAAGCTACATGCTATAGATATTCGTGCACTACTACTATTACTACTTTAGAGGCGAACCATGTAAAAATTAATTATTATATTCATTTGTCTTTGAAACAGGGGCGGATTTACGCTTGCGACACCGCTTCGTCGGAAAATTTTACTAAATACATGTATTTATGCTATACGGAAACAGATAAGTAGGAGAAAATGACATCACTTAACATAAATTGTGTCTTGGTGTATTGGTAAGTGCTTGATTTTTCTTCAAGAGGTCAAAGGTTCAAACCTCAACTAGCACATTTTTCTTTTGCAAACTAAGGTTATTTTCTTGTCAAAAGAATGATAATCAAAGTTATATTTCAATTCTTTTATAAATTTCGACACTACTTATAAAAATTTCTGCGTACGTTCCTGCTTTGAAATATAGTTAAAGGTAGAAACAAGAAGACTTGAATAATTTATGAAAGAAAAGTGATGTTTCAGAAGGGAAATACAAAAGGATATTGTAATATGTAGTGTTACAAGAGCATACCAAGGAGTTCATCGGTGGTCTTGAGGATATGCGACGGAACTTATCTTGTTTATTTTTTATTTTTATTTTATAGCAAAAACAATTGCTTTTAGAACATACTACAAACTTTCCTTTAAAATTGGTTTTAAACCTTACATATATGTTATAATAATAACTTTGTGATTTAAAAAAATTGTACCAATTGACATTGGCTACACGTGCAACGCATGTGACCAGAAACTAGTCCTAACAACTAATACGGGCCCACATTATTATTTATATATTTACCTTTTTCCATTGTAGAAATGGCATGGGGTAGCCACTATTTAAGGTGGTATTTATTTTTTATCCAGCAATTCTAATGTTGAGCAAAAATAGCCATTACCCTATTAAAATTAATATGAAAAGACATTTTTACCCTTTCTTCCCTTGCTTTTCTTCCCAAACCCTCGGGATGGATGATGCACGCTCCACTACCATCATCTACCATGATGAGTTGCCAACGTCTACGTTTGGTTCTTGAACTGATATAATATCTGTTTGTCACAAATATTGATTCCTTTTCAAATTATTTATTTATTTATCTTTTCCCCTTTATCATGGTTGACTGCAGGTATTGTCCTGTGGCCGCTCTTTCTATTCTCCTCATTTAGGGTAGAAATGGCATGGGGTAAAATAAAGTACCAAGACACGATAAAATAATTAATCTTCAACTGTATGCAGAATTGTATAGCTTTAATTAAGAATGGTACTACAGACTACTTAGCAAAATTTCAAGTGGATAACTTTTGATTTCCAAGTTCAAAAGTTAAGGACAGACGGTCCTTAACTTACAGTTACACGTTCAAAAGTTAAGGACAAGCAGTCCTTAACTTACAGTTACAAGTTCAAAAGTTAAGGACAATAGGTCCTTAACTTTGATTTCCAAGTTCAAAAGTTAAGGACAAACAGTCCTTAACTTACAGTTACACGTTCAAAAGTTAATTAAGGACATGCAGTCCTTAACTTACAGTTACAAGTTCAAAAGTTAAGGACAATAGGTCCTTAACTTTGACTTACAAGTTCAAAAGTTAAGGACGCTTGGTCTTGAAGTTTGAGTTCCAAGTTCAAAAGTTAAGGACATGTAGCCTTGAAGTCCTGAACTTAGAGCTCCAAGTTCAAAAGTTAAGGACATGTAGTCCTGAACTTAGAGTTACAGGTTAAAAAGTTAAGGACATGTAGTCCTGAAGTCCTGAAGTTAAGGACATGAGCAGAAGGGTATTTTCGTCCGGGCAGTTAAAGTTTATTAAACCAGTGGCTAAAGACTAAAGACATTTAAAACACTGGTTTTAAAATAAAGACAGGAGCTGTTAGTGGCTATTTGTGCACATCGCCCTAAATCTCTTTTACTTTTCTTATTCTCAATATTGAATAGTCTCTCAATCAACAACTTATCGCGGCTTGCATGTTGTGTTCATCAAAATATCAAGCATTACAACAAGCAATCATTATATTGAGGCAATGCAACACTTTTCGATATCATTATATCAACTTATCTTGCTCTATAGTTCTTACCCTTTGATTTCTGCTACTATCTATTAATTCTTGTACTTCGATTATCTTATTTATTTGTGGTAACTACTACTCTTTTTTAGACTGCTTTATTATGACTTATTCGCTTTCGTTACTTTCATTTTAATACTGCATTGAATTGATTGTCTTTATCTGGCCTTTTTTTGCCATACTTTCTCTTGAGCCGAGGGTCTTTCGGAAACAACCTCTCTACCTCCCATGGCCTTTTTTTTGCCATGATTCCTCGACAGCTTCATTCTTGCGCTGCTCAATTTCCTTTTACTTTGCTTGAGCTGACTCCAACTGAATTGCAAGTTCTTGCTCCTTGGCTTTTGCTACTTCATGAACTTCTTGACATTGTTATTTCAATCTGTTTCAGACGCTCTACGTCGTGTTTGATATATGCTAGCTTTTGCTTCAGATCTTCTATTTGCCTCTCCAAACTTTCCTTTTTCTCCTTAGCCTTCTCGCGTTCTTTTTTAGCGCGACCAATATCCTTGACACAATTAATTGCATTAAGTACAGCATTTTCATGATTTTTCACCAACACTGATAAAGACAACATGCTTTCTTCTCTTTCTGCAATTTGCATATTGTAGCGAGACGAAATATATCCAGGGACGGCTCCATAAAAAGAGAAATAATCAACATGAAGCCCATTCAAATAGATAAAGGTATTATTGGCCTGATCAACCATGTGATCAACGTTCGAAGAAGTAAGCAGCTCGTTCACTAATATATATATATATATATATAAAGCCTCAACTTTGATAATTACTTTCTTCATTTCTTCATCAATGATTTGGGATGTATGATTTGTCTTTGGCGGTTTTTTCAGTCTCGATAAAGGATTCAGCTTTAAACTAAAGAACAGTTTAGTTTAAGATATTGAAAGAAATGTATGCAAAGAATGGGCTAATGTTCCCTTATGACAAAAACAATGCAAGACACAGAATCTGTACGACAAACAACAACAACAACAACAAACCCAGTAGTTTCCTACAAGTGGGGTCTTTACGATAAAATTAGTAAAAAAAATACACTGAATCTCTTGATTAGTTTGCACTAACAAGATAATATTTTGCTTTAGCAGTAAATATTGTGCTTCAATATTTAACTTTATTCAGATTTTCATGACCTGTTTCTGCAAAATTTATTCCAAAGTATCATAATATTTTGCTTTAATTCTATGTGAAATCTGTTTATTGTTCATATTGTCCCCAAAGTTTTATGTATCTCCACATCTATTACAATGTAGTTAGATTTAAGTAGTGGTACACGAGCATACTGTTAGCACAAAGAGATAGAGTTATTGCCTCAACTTTCTCCTTTTTCCAAATATAAGCTTATCATTTTCCTGCATATACTGATCCTCTTTGATTCAATGCCAAATTATAAAAGCTTAATCAAGCTCCACTTATCCTATTACAACCAAGAATCTGCATATATCTTAGGAATAACTCGAATTTCAAATCATTCACTTGCTTTAACTACTCATACTATGGATGTAGGAGCATCAACTCCGTTCCTGTGGGCTTTTTAGGAGAGGGAGAAATTGGTTGAATTCCGTGAAACCATTCATAGAAGTTCATTGATATCTTCTTTTTGTAAAGCAAATCGACTTCGATTCTTGAATAATCCACATCACTTTTGCTTCTATATTGGAACACAAGATTCCCTTTTTCCTTTGATTTCTGATCAAAGATTAATTTCATCATTAATTTCTATCTAGATTATATATCTTTACGAAGATCCCATTCTATTCCGGAAGCTCGTAGTATTGGTCCCGATAAACCCTAACTTAATGCTTCGTCTCTCCCAATAATGCCTACGCCTTCAACTCGTTCTACAAAAATAGGATTCCTGTTAAAATAATTAATTTTCTTCATCCAACACTTCATCTAAGAAAGAAAGCTTAACTCCTCCTAGTAACATGACTTCAAAATGAGATCTTTTTGCAATCAGTCTAAATCTTTTGCATCACTAAGTGAACGTTTTATTACTAATTAATTTTTGTCCCTTACTTTCAGAGTTTCCCTTCAGAAGTTCAAACAGCTTGAAGAGTTACTAATTTTTTATGACACCCTAGGCAAATCCCACGTCGACAAAACACGGGAGAGATGCTGGGGTCTGGGTATATAAGTAGACAGGCCTTAGAGTCTAG